AAAATATTTCCTAGGCATTGAAGTTGCCCGCAATGCCAACGGGATGTTTCCGTCTCAAAGGAAGTATGTGTTGGATATTCTGTCTGAAACTGGAAACTTGGGGTGTCGACACGCGGCAACCCCACTTCCGACTAACCATCGTTTGGCTCTTGACAATGGGCCTCTTTTCTCTGATCCCTCACAATATCGGCGTTTGGTTGGTCGTCTTATTTATCTGACAATCACTCGTCTCGGCCTCACTTACGCTGTCCACATCCTCTCTCAATTCATGGACAACCCCCGTCAGGCGCATTGGGACGCTGCCATCCATGCGCTACGGTATATCAAATCGAGACCTGGGCAAGGTTTATTCCTCTCTGCGAAAAGTCCTCTTCAGTTGATTGGCTATTGTGACTCCGACTGGGCTAGCTGTCCTTTAACACGACGCTCTGTATCCGGATATTTTGTTCAGTTAAGAGACTCCCCCATCTCTTGGCGTACAAAAAAGACGGTGTCCCGCTCTTCCGCGGAGGCCGAGTATCGAGCAATGGCGACGACAGTTTGTGAGCTGAAATGGCTTCGGTCTCTCCTCCGTTCACTTGGCGTGGAGCATCCTGCACCTATGACTTTATTTTGTGACAATCAAGCGGCCTTACACATCGCTGCCAACCCGGTGTTCCATGAGCGCACAAAGCACATCGAAATCGATTGCCATTTTGTTCGTGACGAGATCCAGCGTGGCGTTCTTCGTACTTCACACATCTCTTCAGTCAATCAACCCGCGGATATTTTTACCAAACCGCTTGGTTCTGCTTCGTTCACACATTTACTGTTGGTGGTCCCAAAGTGGTAAGATACAAAGTCTAGAGGGGGGTGAATAGACTTTGTTACAAATTTAAAATCTTTTTCGTTTCTTTTGAAAAACGTGAAAATAAGTGTTAATCTAGAGTTCTTGAGAACTTTAGATTGTGTGCGGAATTTGGTGGGTAGAGTGAGCAGTAATCAATATGGATGGGTTAGTTTTCACAGTTAATGTAATTGCAAGTTAGAGTAAAGATAAAAGAGAGAGACACGCAAAATTTAACGAGGTTCGAAGGTGGGGTAATCCTTCTACGTCCTCAAAATCCACTATGTAGTTGGTTGTTGAATAATGAACCAACAATTACACTTGTGTGAATTTCTGCACGGTATATCTTCGCAAGACCAATGTTGCTACTGCACTCGTGCTGGCTTTGTTGTTCCTTCGAAGGTCACGCTTCTTCAACAACTGCAAGATCCGAACAATAGGACTTGCAAGATCAACTTGTAAGAAAGTTGACC